ATTGGAAGTTATAGAGGGATGCATTTTGATATAAACCAGAACAGCGTGTTGCAGCTGATGAAAGCTGCAATCAAAGAAATATTTATCATGAAGCAGGTTCCTGTGATAATGTTGTGCAGTTTTTGATTGCAAAAGAAATTCGACAGCGTTGATTCAGCGTTGAATCTGTTACTTCCGACCCGTTATCCAAATCTGAACATGTAAAAAATCGTTTAAAACTTAAGGGTTGGGCTGACCTTTGGGGTCGGTCGGTGGTGTGGAACATTAAAAATTAAGCTTAAAGGACGTGTGTAGCCTGTTAGAGATGAATTAAAACGATTTTCAAATTTGAAAAAAATAAGTCGACCCCTGTCCAGCTCAGTATAGCTACAGAGAAAATATGTCTTTATGAACATTATTATCCCAATATTTCTTCTATTGTCTGGATACCCGTGAAGACCTGTTTTAGAATTGGTCTTCATCAACCAATGCTTGTAAGAGGACAGTCAAGCTCGCTGACTAAGTTGACACGTCATCGTATCTCAGTTGCGTAGATCGATGCTCATGATGTTGATCACTGGATTATTAGACTCGATTATTTATACAGCTGGAATATTGCTGAGTGGGCGCTAAACAACAAACAACAATAACAATGTGTAACAGTAAACGTCTGGCATGGAAACTTGGTGCATACATCTATGTCAGCTTAATCCTTACAACCGAATGGAACGATAACCATTAAAACTATTAAAAGTGAATATACATAACTTTAGTTTAAATACTTTTCTCATATAATATATACTTGCAGTCTGTAATTGCATTTATAGACAGATGTAGTGAGTGAGTAGTTTATGCTTTACGCCGCACTCGGCAATATTCCAGCTATATGACGCCGGTCTGTAAATAATCGAATCTGGACCAGACAATCCAGGGATCAAGAGCATGAACAACGATCTACGCAACTGGGATACAATGACATGTGTCAACCCAGTCAGCGAGCCTGACCACCCGATCCCGAGTGTCGCCTCTTACGACAAGCATGGGTTACTGAAGATCAATTCTAACCCGGATCTTCACGGGTCTATTGACAGATGTAACGGTTGACAGTTGCATGCCATCTGCAGATGTTTTATGTTTGTGGTAGCGTCACGGTTTAAACGATAACAACGTAAAAAAACGGTGTGTACATTATGCGCGAATCAGCAACAGCGTGAACGCCGGTCGTTACGCTAATCCTTCCAGAGGCGCCAAAATACGTCAATTATTAAAAAGCTGAATAACTTCATTGGCAAGTAACTGATGACGTAATCTATCTGTGATGTAAAATAGTTCATAAAGCATTGTGGCGTATTTCTTTGAAGATATCTTCCGTTGAAGTTAGTTTTGGGTAATATACACCGGCGACCTTGTATTCAGTCAGCTTGGTTTTATGCCGATTTAGATATATTCTCGAAGGCAACCTGAAGTTAGCAGCGGGTTCGTTTTTCGTTATTCGTTTTTTCGACTAACGAATAACGTGCTAGCATCAGGTTCGTTATTCACTATATGTCTCATCAGATCTATCTAATATAAGATAGTCTAAATCCCAGCAACTGTTTAGTTATTCAGCACCTCTGAACAACGAAAAACTAACCAGCACCGGGTTTGTTATTCAGACTCGGAATAGTGTTGAAATACGAATAACGTGCTAGAAGGTATATTTGAGCGTGAGTAGTCGTTCTGGCTATAGACGTAGATAGTATATACAGCTGAATACACACGTCGACATGTTATTGACAAAGTATGACACTGTAATACAGGGAGAAACCATGGTATGGTATTACATGTACAAAATATGACCACATGTTATTTCATGGGTAAAACATGACATTGTATTACATGCACAAAATATGACCACATTGTATTTCATGGGTAAAACATGACATTGTATTACATGCACAAAATATGACCACATTGTATTTCATGGGTAAAACATGACATTGTATTACATGCAAAAAATATGACCACATGTTATTTCATGGGTAAAACATGACATTGTATTACATGCACAAAATATGACCACATGTTATTTCATGGGTAAAACATGACATTGTATTACATGCACAAAATATGACCACATTTTGTTTCATGGGTAAAACATGACATTGTATTACATGCACAAAATATGACCACATTGTATTTCATGTGTAAAACATGACATTGTATTACATGCACAAAATATGACCACATTGTATTTCATGGGTAAAACATAACATTGTATTACATGCCTAAAATATGACCACATTGTATTTCATGGGTAAAACATGACATTGTATTACATGCACAAAATATGACCACATTTTATTTCATGGGTAAAACATGACATTGTATTACATGCACAAAATATGACCACATTTTATTTCATGGGTAAAACATGACATTGTATTACATGCATAAAATATGACCACATGTTATTTCATGGGTAAAACATGACATTGTATTACATGCACAAAATATGACCACATTGTAGTTCATGGGTAAAACATGACATTGTATTACATGCACAAAATATGACCACATTGTATTTCATGTGTAAAACATGGCATTGTATTACATGCACAAAATATGACCACATTTTATTTCATGGGTAAAACATGTCATTGTATTACATGCACAAAATATGACCACATTTTATTTCATGGGTAAAACATGACATTGTATTACATGCACAAAATATGACCACATTGTAGTTCATGGGTAAAACATGACATTGTATTACATGCACAAAATATGACCACATTGTATTTCATGTGTAAAACATGACATTGTATTACATGCACAAAATATGACCACATTGTATTTCATGGGTAAAACATGACATTGTATTACATGTACAAAATATGACCACATTGTATTTCATGGGTAAAACATGACATTGTATTACATGCACAAAATATGACCACATTTTATTTCATGGGTAAAACATGACATTGTATTACATGCACAAAATATGACCACATGTTATTTCATGGGTAAAACATGACATTGTATTACATGCATAAAATATGACCACATGTTATTTCATGGGTAAAACATGACATTGTATTACATGCACAAAATATGACCACATTGTAGTTCATGGGTAAAACATGACATTGTATTACATGCACAAAATATGACCACATTGTATTTCATGTGTAAAACATGGCATTGTATAACATGCAAAAAATATGACCACATTTTATTTCATGGGTAAAACATGTCATTGTATTACATGCACAAAATATGACCACATTGTATTTCATGGGTAAAACGTGACATTGTATTACATGCACAAAATATGACCACATTGTATTTCATGGACAAAACATGGCATGGTATTACATGTACAAAATATGACCACATTGTATTTCATGTGTAAAACATAGCATTGTATTACATGCAAAAAATATGACCACATTGTATTTCATCGGTAAAACATGGCATGGTATTACATACACAAAATATGACCACATTGTATTTCATGGGTAAAACATGGCATGGTATTACATGTACAAAATATGACCACATTTTATTTCATGGGTAAAACATGACATTGTATTACATACACAAAATATGACCACATTGTATTTCATCGATAAACCATGGCATGATATTTCATGCACAAAATATGACCACATTGTAGTTCACGGGTAAAACATGACATTGTATTACATGCACAAAATATGACCAAATTTTATTTCATGTGTGAAAAAATATCATTGTATTACATGCATAAAATAAGACCACAGTGTATTTCATGGGTAAAACATGAGATGGTATTACATACACAAAATATGACCACATTGTATTTCATGGGTAAAACATGACATTGTATAACATGCCCAAAATATGACCACATTGTAGTTCATGGGTAAAACATGACATTGTATTACATGCATAAAATATGACCACATTGTATTTCATGGGTAAAACATGACATTGTATTACATGCACAAAATATGACCACATTGTATTTCATGGGTAAAACATGAGATGGTATTACATACACAAAATATGACCACATTGTATTTCATGGGTAAAACATGACATTGTATAACATGCCCAAAATATGACCACATTGTAGTTCATGGGTAAAACATGACATTGTATTACATGCATAAAATATGACCACATTGTATTTCATGGGTAAAACATGACATTGTATTACATGCACAAAATATGACCACATTGTATTTCATGGGTAAAACATGACATTGTATTACATACACAAAATATGACCACATTGTATTTCATGGGTAAAACATGGCATGGTATTACATGCACAAAAAATGACCACATTGTATTTCATGGGTAAAACATGACATTGTATTACATACACAAAATATGACCACATTGTACTTCATAGGTAAAACATTACATTCTATTACATGACTACACAGTATTACATTGGTGAAATATCACACTTTCTTACTTACCCATTGAATCATACGAAGGCAATACAGCAGCTCTGGAAAATTCCGTACTGTACTCCGATTTCCGTATTGCATGGTTGCCGGATCTAATTAGTGAGTGTCCCAAATGATATCTGTGTAACATTATACTTATTAAGTGGGGGTGGGGGTGGGGGTGGGTGTGGGTGTGTGTGTTTGTTTTGGGTTTGTTTTGTGCTAAATTCTCTTCTGTTTCGTTTCTTTCGTGATTCGAATTTGGCACTTGAGTGATGACGTCCGGCCGAGGAAGAATACATGCGTGATACGTCCCTTGCGCGGAATCCTACTCACGGTAACCGCAATACGAAAGTTTCAATAGTGACGTTTTGTGAGTGAGTGACATAGGCGTAGGAACAGTTTAAAAGTTGGGGGGGGGCAAGATTTCGAAATTGATAACGGGGTGGGGGGGTGTGTGGAGAGAGGAGATATATGAAAAGGACAGACAGAGTTCACTTGAAACTTCAATTAATAGCAAATGCATTACATTATTCAGGTAACACTAGATCGACTGTTTATACAGGCTAGTGCATCTCGCGAAATGTTCATCTCTTATGAGAAAAGTCCAAAGTAGTTGCGTCTTCTGTCATGGAAAGAAATGAACTCCCGGGCAACATCCACTAGAGATAGTTCATCAGCAATGGTTTTGTGGACATGCAGTAGCAGAACGTTGTTCAGACGTTCCTGTGTCATTGTAGATCTGACGTATGACTTCAGGCGTCGAAGCGTGGAGAAGGTACGTTCTGATGTTGCTGTGGTGACAGGAATAGTCAAGTAGATCTTCAAAAGGGTGCTTATCTCCTTGAACAGGTGCCTTATTACAGGCGATGAGTTGATAATTGATACAACAGTATCAATATTTGTGACTTCAGTGATTAAGCATCCTCTTTCAGTGGAGACAGATTTCACTGTGTCATGAAGCATGGAAAGCTGTGTGTTCAATCGAACAAAGTCAACATCATCTTTGTAGAGTTCTCTGATGTGAGAAGATATTTGAAAGTTCCGTCCATTTGCAGCAGACAGCAACAGTTGCTCTATCTCCACAGCAGTTTCAAATCCTTTCTGTGAGAATCTCCGCTTTAGTTGCTCTGAAACGATGTCTAGACCTTCAAAATATTGTTGGCGACAATAATCTTCCACAGAAGGGAACGTGTGAGTATTAGATCCATCATCCAATCTCTTGGGCCTCTTCCGGTAGCGTGGTAGACGTGGAGGATCAGTTTTGTCTTCAGCTTCATCAACAACAGACTTGTAGAACTCTGAAAAAGTATCTGTACTCCTCAGCTTATCATAATACGCCAGTACTTGCTCTGCTCCCTTTCGTGCGTCCTTTGCCGTTGTTTCTACGCTTTGAATGGAGGAAGACAATTGCTCTGATGCACCAAAAATTTGGGAAGAAACTTTCAGCCCAAAAGGCACACTAAACTGGTCAAACTGTGAAAGTAAACCACCTGCAATCCTGGCATTCTCATCGTGACCCTTATTGATTTCTTCAAATGCTTTTCGAAGAGTATCAAAGTTCTCCAAAACAGAGTTGATAGATCCTGTTCTAACTGTCCAACGTGTTGGACACAGAGGTCGTAAGCCACGAGTTCTTTCAGTTTGAGGCACATCCATGTCAAGACGCTTCTCAATGGATAGAGCTTTTGGAAGATTCTTGAATAGGTGTTCTCGTTTTGGAGAATATTTAATGAGCTTGTTCACTTCAATTGTGATGTCAAGAGCATCCCTGAGAGGTTTGCATGCTCTAGTGGCTTCCTGCAAAGCCAGGTTGATACAGTGGGCGAGGCAATGGACATGAACTGCTCGTGGTTCTTCTCCTTGCAGTTGGACAGCAACTCCATTGACATGGTCTTGAAAATTACTTGCACCATCATAGCCTTGACCTCGGCAATTCGATAGTGGTAAGTCACAACGGATAAGTGTGTCTTTTAGTACTTCTGTTAGTGTTGCTGATGTTGTGGAAGGAACCTCATATAGGCCAATAGCATCCTCATGGACACTGAAATCATTATCCACCCAACGGATACATATGACAACTTGTTCTTTGTTTGATGTCTCTTGTTTCATCCGCCATAACGGCAAAGAACCTGGCAGCTTTGATTCTCTCAAGAATCTTCAGTCGCACAGCTCGGCCCAGGAGCATCGATTGCTCATTCACAATTGCAGGTGACATATATGTTTTCTCAGATAACCATGTTGGCAACCCCTCTATGTCAGAACCTCTCAGGTTTCGTCTGCACTGCTGTTCCTTGGTAACTTTTGCCAGAAGTAAACTTGTGACACTGTCATTACCATGTTTCTTGTGTTTTGCAAGGGCATCTCTGTGATATGAACTCTTATCATGCTTTTTGAACTCATCTCCAGACTTTTTCCAATTGTTGAAACCTTCTGATATGAATGTTGCTTCAGGTTGTCTGGAGGTAGGATGCTTCTGCAGATCACTGTCCTTACCGTAAGCCAGTCTGCAATAAAAGCAGAAAACTTTGTTTCTTGTTGTACACAGAGTAAGCCAAGGATATTCATGAAACCATGAGAACGAGAATGATCTCCCAGGTTTCGTAGTTGTCTTTTTCAAGGTTGATGCAGCATTTGGCTGATAAGGTTCACTTATTTCAGAACAACAAGGTGAATTGCACACATGTTGACGTTCATCTTCATCACTGCCGGGTGATGATTGGAGCTCAGATGTCAGAGAACTCTCCATTGAAACATCCTTACTCTTGCTTTCACTGATGATGTCTGGAACTGGGTTTATATGAGACTGAGAGTCTTGAGGCCGGAGAAATTCTGATGGTTTTGTCTCACTTTGAGATTCCTTCTTGCTCTGAACTGAAAACATAAAATCCAACGTCCTCTGTTTCTTTTGTTTCTTTTTTTGGTCACTTTCTGCCAAGTCAGCATCAACATGTTTTTTCGCAGTATCCAAACAAGCAACAAAATGATTTGGTGACCAGCTCTTAGTATTTGTGTTTGTACAATGTGTCCACATGATGCAGACAGGTTCCTCCTCCGCATCATTCAGAGGGTGTATTGTTTGATCAAGTACATGTCTGTTTGTAGCCACATTTTGGATTTTGGGATAGATAAATTGAACTGGTCGTTTCAGAACACTTGGCAAACTAAACATGTGTAAAACTGATGAATATTCTCCATTTCTTGTTGTTTTCATCACTAAATGTCTGTAACGCTGCATGTTGTCACCCTCTGCAGACTGACTTTCGGATGACGTCAAAATATACTGTAACAGTGATCCGTTACCTTTTGCTTCAGAAACACTTGTCAGTTTTGATTCATTTAAGTAATGTTCTTCATTGATGATAAGATCAAAAACACCTCTCACTCGAAGTTCAGTATAATAATCTTCAAAACCAAAGCAGAGTTGAGAGGCTGACCTCCAAAAACAGTTTCCATCTCCATAACATCTGACTGGGGTAAGATGTGTAGGAGCATCATCTGGATATAACATTCTAGCAACATGATCAATACTGAATTGCATATTGCTATAGTTTGGCAAATGATTTAAATCCAGTTCAAATTTGTTAGTGTTTGACTTTATAATAATTTATTCTCTTTATATTTGGTCTTAAATATCTGAAAAATAAGAAATTGGAGTCACTGTCATTTTTTCTTTATGATGATCATATTTGGGGTGCTGACAAATAGAACAATAGGGTACTGAAAAACAATAGTTTTATACTATAAATATATTATAATTACATTCAATAACAAGGCAGAAGTGATCACAGCTCACATACCCCCGCTTATAGTCTGATCGCCTTCAATACCATTATTGAATACCAAAATAATATTTTAGGAAAACTTTCAATTTTGGCATCATGCAATTGAAAGCCAAAATCCACAATGGCACCATAAGGGTAAGTTCCATGCCAAATTTGAAGTTTGTAAGTGGTATAGTTTTTGAGTTATGCTCAGAGAAACCATTCCGGACGCAAGAACGCACGGACACACGGGCGGACGGGCGGAGCGCTATATACCAGCGACTACGTCGTAGCGGAGGTATAATAATGCAGCCATTCTTATTTCATACATGAATTCGGCTTTCAGATAAAACCATCTGTCTCACTGCCAATGTATGAGTTTGAAATCGTGTCTTATTGTTATTGTTTAGATGTTCAATAAATAAATCAAACAGCACCTATTATACTTAAAATATGGCTATTACTGTAAACTAAATGTTACTGTATAGACTACACTGTAATGTCAATGTATGTTGTCAACTTACCGCTGATTCGAATCCATGTTGGCTGTTAATAACAGCCTGACTGCCTCTACTTTCACTTTTGAGTGACATGAATTAAAAAAATTGGATTCTATCATTAGCGGAAATTTTTTTTTGATCATGTTATTTTTTCAACGTTACCAGAGGCTTGAATTTGTGTTTAATTCTCTATTATGGTCCCTAAAAAAATTCCAGCTTGTAAAAATATGGGGGGCAGCGCCCCCCATATTTTTTCTGGGGGGGCAGCTGCCCCCCAGTTCCTACGCCTATGAGTGAGTGAGTGAGTGAGTGAGTATGGCTGAACGCCGCTTTGAGCAATATTCCAGCAATATCACGGCGGGGGACACCAGAAATGGGCTTCACACATTGTGCCCATGTGGGGAATCGAACCTAGGTCTTCGGCGTGACGGGCGAACGCTTTAACCACTAGGCTACCCCACCACCCCAAGTGACGTTTAGAGAAACAGTCTGTGGCATGAAACGTAATACATATAAAACGTAATACAAATGCATTTGGACTTTATATATTGAACCTGGAGATGGCATGGAAGGAGAGATGACATCTTTTTGCTCCATATATACAGATGGAATAAAGTAACTACATTATTTGATGTTGTGCCATTTTTTTAAAGCAGATAGATAATAACATGATTTGTGGTGTTTTCCTTAATCACAGTTTAACTGTTTACAGGATAATATCGAAATCTGTGTGATTTGACACAAGACATCTTGTGACACGTCCTTGAAGAGATGTGGTGCCAAAAGTCAGTTCACAAATTCAGTATCATGTGTGTCCACCATTGGCGTCGATGTCCACCACAGGCTTGACAACGACGACGCATTGACGACACTAAGCGATTGAAGAAAACTTTGGGAATGTTGTTCGATGTCTGAAGCAACGCTTGTCCCAATTCAGCTAACGTCAATGGCTGATTCTCTGTATCGTAGACTGTAAGACTGACATTGACAATGACAATTTGTGTCCGACATGAGATGTTATGGCTCCCCATACCATAACGCTCCCGCCACCAAACTGTCGCCGTTGAACAACGCACGTGTCAGCATACCGTTCACCTCGCCGTCTGTACACCCTTGGCCCTGCCATCTGAGCTGTCCAGATGAAATCTCGACACGTCAGGAAAAAAAACTAGTGTTGGGAATTGGTTGAAATCTCACAATTGATGATTGCTTCATTACCAACGAACAATCATCGAAAAAAATTGGTTAGCGTCATGTTTCAGATTTTCCTATCCAGCTTGTTATTGCAGATATGTATAACATGATGCAACTTGCTACTTTAAAGTGATTACTAATATATCATAAACATAAACTTCCCGGAGTCTTCAAAAAATATTCAGTCATGGTTTTTCAGTTAGTGAAGTGAGTTTTCTAAGAATTAAACACATTTTCAGGCCCTGACAACTTCAACGATATGTTCCATTGACAAGTATTTCAAAGACTAAAACAGTAGTTCCAAAATCGTTTATGTTCGATTATGAGAAAATGTGATCGATTGCTTGGTCGTTTGGTCACTGCGACCAATCTTCGATTATTTAAATTAATCGGAACACCACTACAAAACACCATCCCAATCTTGTCTCCTGTACTGTAGATGCTGTCGGCACCAGGCAAGGCGTGCCTGCCGGTGACGTTGGAGCAAAATTGGACGCATTGCAGGCCGTCGGGGCCGGGTGTTGTGTTCCCTCTGTCGGTTCCATACAGTTCTGGCACTGATCGGACGTAAGCCAGGAATGGTCCGAGTAGTCAAACTGCCAGTCTGGAATCGATTCCTAAGATGGGTCAGCCTTGCTGACGTGACGCCACGCGTGGATGGACGGTCTTAGACGAATCTCTTGATTTCCCATTATGTTGAAAACAGCTGCATAGAGATCGTGCTTCGATGGACACCAACATGTCATCATGTTTGACCATTCCAGCCTCCAGCATACCCACGGCGCATAGACACGACGTACGCGCAGTTTAGGTTGAAATTAACATGGCTAGAGATGCTAGAGAATAATTAACTGTTCTTTAATTTTTAATATCAGGTGTGTGAAGTTCAGGTGTTAAAAAGCATGCAAAACGTGAGTAAGTTCATTGTGCATAAAGTGCACGTGCCACGCGTGATAGGTGACATCAAATTCCGTGCAAAATTCTTAGCTACATGTTAATTTAGGGTTATTTTTTTAACTTTTCAAATAACTTTTATCTCATGCAATTTTATGTTATGCAGTATCTTTTCCCGTTAGTATATAAGCTCCAACTCCACTAGTATGACGTTCAATAAATGTATTACATGGACAACATATGACCACACTGAATAACATGGTCAAAACATGACCCTACTATAGTCTGTTTGCAGTGAAAAAGTACCGATGAATGTCACTTTAAACCCAAAAGTAAAATAAATAAAGCGAAATTATGTCCCTACTGTATAACATGGTGAAAATATGTCCCTACTGTATAACATGGTTAAAGTATGACCCAAATGTACAACATGTTGAAAATATGTCCCTACTGTATAACATGTTGAAAATATGACCCAGACTGTATAACATGGTGAAAATATGTCCCTACTGTATAACATGTTGAAAATATGTCCCTACTGTATAACATGTTGAAAACATGTCCCTACTGTATAACATGGTGAAAATAGGTCCCTACTGTATAACATGGTGAAAATAGGTCCCTACTGTATAACATGGTGAAAATAGGTCCCTACTGTATAACATGGTTAAAGTATGACCCAAATGTACAACATGGTGAAAATAGGTCCCTACTGTTTAACATGGTGAAAATATGACCCAGACTGTATAACATGGTGAAAATATGTCCCTACTGTATAACATGTTGAAAATATGTCCCTACTGTATAACATGTTGAAAATATGTCCCTACTGTATAACATGGGGAAAATATGACCCAGACTGTATAACATGGTGAAAACATGACCAGACTGTATAACATGGTTAAAGCATGACCCAAATGTATAACATGGTTAAAGTATGACCAAAAAGTATAACATGGTGAAAATATGACCCAGACTGTATAACATGTTAAAAATAGGTCCCTACTGTATATCATGGTTAAAGTATGACCCAAACGTACAACATGGTGAAAATATGTCCCTACTGTATAACATGGTGAAAATATGACCCAGACTGTATAACATGGTGAAAATATGTCCCTACTGTATAACATGGTGAAAATATGTCCCTACTGCATAACATGGGGAAAATATGACCCAGACTGTATAACATGGGGAAAATATGTATAACATGGTGAAAATAGGTCCCTACTGTATAACATGGTGAAAATATGTCCCTACTGTATAACATGTTGAAAATATGACCCAGACTGTATAACATGTTGAAAATATGTCCCTACTGTATAACATGGTCAAAATATGACCCAGATTGTATAACATGGTGAAAATATGACCAGACTGTATAACATGGTTAAAGCATGACCCAAATGTATAACATGGTGAAAATATGACCCAGACTGTATAACATGGTGGAAATATGACCAGACTGTATAACATGGTGGAAATATGACCAGACTGTATAACATGGTCAAAATATGACCCA